CTATCGATTTAAATAAGTTTTTTAAATATTAAATTTATCTGATGATAAAAATTATAATATAAAATATGATGAACAATAATACGAATATTGTAAAAAAAGTTATAATATTTTTTAAGTATAAAATTTTTTAAAATATTAAAGTATTTAAATACATATATATATTCAAATATATTTCTTCAGAACTAATCGTTTACACCTTTTAAAACTGTATTTAAGAGAGATGTACGGAATTAAAATAGATTAAAGTTTCAATGAAATTAAATAATTCATTCATTAAAACTGCAAACAATTGTCTTCTGTTTTTGTTTTCTCTGTACTATACTGCAGCTTTTTTTTAAAAATGCCTTAAGATATAAAGAAATCAATTTTTACTTTTTTACAAAATAAGCTAGTTTAGATGTTTACAAATGTTATTAAAAACTTTTTTTCATAGTGTTCTAAAAAAATCATAAAAATTATTCGTTTCAAAAAACGTTTTACAAAGAGTTTTTCCTAATATATTTTTTTAATTACATTTTTCTCGAAATACATAATAATTTTGAAAAACGGCTGGAGTATATCAAACAAAGAAAAGCGATTTAAAAATTAAAACTTTATAAGATTGCTCATAATGAAACAATTTGAATAATTAGAATTAAACGTTTATAAAGTAGAAAAATAATCCTAATGTAAATATAACCCAGTAAAATTAGAAAATTTATTTTGATTAAAACTTAATTGCATCTAAAAAATGTGAAATTTATCTGCTTTTTTAAATGTCAGAATGTAATGACCTTTTTTTTTTTTTTACTTAGCTGCACCTAAATTCCCAATTTGGCAAAAACGCTGTATGAAATTTTTTCCTGGCTATATATATATATATATATATATATATATATATATATATATATATATATATATATATATATATATATATATATATATATATATATATATATATATATATATATATATATACATATATATATGTGGGGGCATGTATGTAAATATTAAAGATGATTTCTTTATATTATCATGTATAATAATGTATATTTTAAAGAGTGCTTAATAGATAAACTAGAGCTATATAGTATATATATTACTGTTACCCGCAGTCTGCGGGTAAAGGTTATAATGCAATGCGACTTATTAATGGACTGCAGGTAACAGTAATATATATATACTCTCTCTCTCTCTCTCTCTCTCTATATATATATATATATATATATATATATATATATATATATATATATATATATATATATATATATATATATATATATATTTAATATATTAATTTTTTATATTTAACTTTAATATATTAAATATAAAGATAAACATATTATTTTTAAACTTGATATAAAAAATTTAAACTTTGCTTTTACTTATTTAAAGGCAGTTAAATCAAACGCAATATAATATTTATGAGCTATTATTTAATTTAAAAATTCCACGCGCTGCATGTCATTAAAATTCGATCAATTCAACGAAGAAAATTTTATCAGTTCTACAGGTTATTATTTATCTACTTTTCAAAAAGGCACTCCTTCTTTGGCAGACAAGTTTTATAAAGCTAGAACTTTTTAATCTTTTATATATATATATATATATATATATATATATATATATATATATATATATATATATATATATATATATATATATATATATAAAGATAATTATTTATTTAAAAATAAATAATATAAAGAATATTATTTATTTTATATATATATATATATATATATATATATATATATATATATATATATATATATATATATATATATATATATATATATATATAAAATAAATAATAAGAAAAAAAATACAAATAAAGATATAGTTTAAAAAACGAATAATAAATAAAGAATCGGTAAACTCGAGTAGGACCAGGATGCCACTGAGAAACCACTTAAGCTAAAATAGAATGATTTGGATGATTATAATGTTAATATTTAAATGTATATTTTCTTAATGTTTTTTTAAAAATATTCTATCGATGAGATCTCAGCCTCAAAACACATTTGTAAAATCTTATATTATCAAATTTTTCAAACTGCTAGCTTTTCTTTGCTTTTCGGTGTCCACGGCGTTTGCAGTAATCAATCGAACATTGATTACTACAATTTCAAATCAACAAATAAAATTTTATTATAAAGAATTAAAAATCTTGCTGGAAAAAATGTCCCATGACTTTGTAAATTGATCGGACAATCTGAGGTTTTAGCCAGACAATGTCCGATGTCCGACTGTTAAATTAAGCTCTGTATGTATATATATATATATATATATATATATATATATATATATATATATATATATATATATACATATTAAATCTATATAAAATATTGAGAACAGCTATTAATGTAAATTGTATATTACAACATATATGAATTGTATATACAATATTAGTTAATGCATTAGTGATCATTTTTCTAAATATTGAAATGCAATAAATAAAAGCTTATTAAATAACATTAACAATTTGATCATATTAAGAAAAGAAAAAAAATCTTACATTATCACTTGGTGTAATATGATTCATTAAAACAGCTGTTGACATTCCTGCATAGGCATTTATTGATTTAAGCAAGCTCACACATTCATTTTCTTCAGGTACTTCAGCTAATAATATAAAATCAAAACTTAAATAAATACAAAAATGCATTTTCATTCGAAGTTCAATAACAATTCTTGCAAAACTTTTTCCATAAACTTTTAGAAATCAAAGACATAAAAACAAAAACAAAAAAGATAAAGAAAATCTAAAAAATAATTTCATTTTATCATTTTCTATGCCCCAACCCTATCCTGTCAGGGTTAAAAAATAAGAAAATTCTTTGCAAATAGAGGGTTGTATCAATGTATAGAGGGTTGTATCAATTGTACAAATGTATGTTTCATATTTACATTCATTTACATTATCCAGTCAATTCATAAATTTGCTATATATTCACATAAAGTTTAATAACATTCTTTAAAATATTTGTTAATCTACATTCTTTAAAATATTTTTATCTAAATCTATACACTTATGAAGAAATGTTTTTATAAACAATTAATCATTAACCCTTTTGCAACAGTATAAACAAAACTTAAAAGCTAAATTTTGCAGACCTGAAGTTGGCTAAGTACAACACTGTTGTACCAACCTGAATTCATTTGGATTTTGCAGGCTGGTAATATCATAAAAACAATGGATAATAACAACCATACAACTAATCCAAACTGATTAATTAAAAAAATAAAAAATTATAATAGAAATTTATAAAATATAATTTTTCTTACTTCTATTTATTGGTACAACTATTAGAGCTTTATCAATAAATACTGTATTTGTAAGATGTTGTGCTATACCACATTGTTCAGAATTATCATACTGTATATAACACAGTTTAACTGCAACTTTTATATCATCACTAAAATCAAAAGTATAACATATAGTTAAATTATAAGCTGTTTTATTATATAAAACTTTTAAACTTATAGTAAATTGTATTTAATTAAATAATATATAATAGACACTAGATAATCGATATCAACCCTCGGTTTATTGGTTCAATACCTTACAGTATCGATATCAAATGATACTAGTATTGAAAGTATTGATTATGTAGTATTAATACCGATTGTATCATTTGGTATTACAGCTTGGATCTTTACAAGAATTTGTTTTTTTTTTTAAATAAATGATAAGTAATTTGAAATAGTAAATTTTATATAATAACCGTAATGTATATAAAGGTGGAGTAATTTTCATAGTATAAAAAAAAAATATTAATAAAAAATAAATATTCCAGAGGAGCCAACTGATGTATATTTGTTATAACAGAAAAGTAAAAAATATTTTTTGATTTAGATAATTTTCCTCTAGTTCTTTTGAGGAAAAAGTTCCTCTAAGAATTTAAAAAACTCACGGTGTCTTAATATTAGTGATATTTTTCTTTGTCTAAACCTGGGATTCAAAAGAAGATTCAAAAATCATAGATATTTTCAGTTTTTTTGATTGCTAAAAAACCCCTGGTTTGAACATAATTTGAAATTTTTTTTAGGAGCATTTTTGCTTTTTTTTTTTTTTTTTGAAATTAATTATTTTCAAAACCAGCATTTTACTCTGCTTATTTTAAGTCCAAGGTTGACATAATTTAGGAAAAAAAAATTTAACTAATATTAGGACCCAGTGAGATTTTGAAATTTCTAGAGGAACCTGAAGAACTCATCAAAAAAAAAGTTATTTTTATTTTTATTTATCAAGACTGTGACCATTTGCAACCATGATTCTTTTTATTATCAGTGTGGCATTGAACTGATACTGATGGTATTGACATTTGTACATAAGCAATACTACATGGTACGAGACCATCCTTCTTGGTATCACATGATACTGAACCAATACTGATGGTATTGACATTAGTATATCATACAATACAAGATCATCCTTCTTGATAACAATTATATAGTGTCTAATATATAATATCCATTAAAACATTGATACTGAAATAATAAATTCAGGGCATAAATAAATGCAGAAAAAATCAGCAATAAATTCCCTCTTCCCCCTCCTTCCAACTTAGCGGTATATATATTTTTTAAAGCTTTTTTTAAACATAATTATCATACTTTATCATATATTTATACTCTCATATTTATATGCTATGTATATATCTTAGTCTTGAGTGATTCTTTTTAAATAGCTCATATTACTCAGGGCTTGCGATAAAGGAAATCTCCCACCATGCTTTTTCATTCATTGTAATATGTTGTAATCAAGTAAGATTATTTGCAATCAAGATGTCTGCAGGAGCCATCATGAGATTTATGAAGACTGCTCTTACAAAGTTTTTTATTTGTTGTACAATGCCCTTTAATTGACAAATGTTTTGAATTAGTATCTACAACAGCGCACTCATGACACTTCGTCAAAACTGAATACACTACTACAGGCCTTGTTTTTAATTGTAGAAAACTACTATAGGCCTTGTTTTTAATAAAAACAACTTAACATATTTACTCGTCGTGATTTTTACATCATAAAATTATCTTTATTTTTGTTTTTTATTTAAGGACATTAACTTTTCAAACTGCCACAATAAAATAAATAACTGCAAAACAAGTTTAATTTACTAATTAAGAAAAACAAATCTAGAAGTGTTATTTTTTAAATGTACCTATTATAGAATGTCTATTTTGTTTCAATTTTTTTTATTTTTAATATCAAATAGTTAAATTTAATATTACATTTTATATTATCATTTAACATAAATTAATTTCTTTCTTTTCTTAACATTTGTATAAATAAAAATATCTTGATATTTTTTTCATTATTTCTTAAAATTGCAACTTTGCAAATGATGATTTTTAACTTTAAAAAAGTTATTAACAAACAAAAAATATTACTTGTCGCAAAGCGAAAAAAAAACTCAAGTTAATTAATTTACCAGAATTTTTGATTGTGACAAACAAAGATTTAAGTTTCCAAGCACAATTTATTAAAAAAATATACAAATATATTTTTTAACATTTTTGTTTCCAACACGGCTAAAAGCAACCACTATTAGAGTTGGAGTTACTGGAAGAGAAAAGATGAAGATTGCAGAGCAAGATAACAATTGACATACGACTTAAAAGATTGCAAATTATATGAATCAGGAAAGCAAGATGAAGGAAGTGAATTCCAAAGAACTTATGTTCGAGGAAAAGAACTAGACGAATAAGAGTTTTTGGAGCACTTAGAAAAAGTCACTAAAAAAAAAGGGACTTTGAATGAGGAGTAACATGAGAGTGAATTTTAGTAGAGAAGCTAGCTTTTTAGAGCAGTGCCCATTATAGTATTTGTAGAAAATAGAAAGAGAAGCAACATTATGACGATGTGATAATGGTTGTAGGTTGGCTGCAAGAGCAGGTCCAACTATGTTTACAATGCGTTTTTGCACTTTGTCTAAAAGAGAAAGGGCATTATTAGAAGATCCGGCCCAGATATGGCAACAGTGTTCCATACAAGGCCGGATTTGAGATTTATAGTTACAGAAAAAAATCTAGAATAAGAAGGTGTCCAGCTTAATAAAGAGATGCAACTTTAGCAGATGCTAATTTTGCAACGGATTTGATAAACAGTTTCCAAGAAAGATCGGAAGCAAGAGTTAATCCTAACAGATTTAGGGTAGATAAGTCATCAAGTATATTACCGTTCATAAATTTAGGAAGATCTAAATTATTGCGATAACTTTGGCTGAAAAAATATTTAGTTTTATCTGAATTGAAGTTCACCAGCCACTGTGAGCTAGTAAATGACCGGGGTTGATATTTGACTGGGGCCGGGGTTGATAAAATAAAGCTGGAGCTAGGTTTGCGACCGAGGCTGCATAAACATTTATACATCATAAAGTATATTTTTAATTTTTAATTAATTCAAAATTCATGTTATATTTTGTATATGTATATATAAACATCTTTATGATCAACATGATTATCATAATCATCATCATCATTATCTCTTTCCGCAAATACTACACATAGTGTAGTGATAATGATGATGATGACGATGATGATGGTAATAATAAATACTAAAGTTTATATAAATATGAAAGGATATTGTATGCCAGCATCTAAATAAATAGCAAACATAAATGTTTATGTACATAATATGTATGTATAAAGCGCATCTCAGAAGCTTTTATTCCTTCTGGACTAAAAGTTTGGAGCTTTTATTCCTACTCTTCAATTTCAAGTCAAACCTCATTTTACTCCATATTTTTCACAATCTTGAGCAGTTACTTTATTGATCATTTATTTCATCTTTTTTACAAAATCATATCTCTTAAAAACAAATGTTCTTTTATTATTCCAAGAAGCCAATATAAAACGGTCCTGCCTGATGTTAAGCTCTGTTATTCTCAGTTTACTAAATCTTGTATCTTATATGAGATGTTAGGTTCTAGAGACTCTTGGTTAGTCTTTAACAGTACCATTAACTTAAGTAAGTCTAACATTCAATCTTATTAATTATATGTTTAAAAAAACTTTGACCTCTCTAACTATCATACGATTAGTCTTCACTCTGTTATTAGTTTTTTATATAAAGGTTTTAAGATTATTAAATTATTTCTTACCAACTGCAGTAATCAAGTTATTCTTGAAGGCCTACACTCTTCTTTATTTCAAGTAACTTTAAGGGTACCACAAGGTATCTTGTGGTACCCTTAAATCGTTGCTCTTGTATTGTTTCTTATCTCCAATATCAATCTTCATGAAAATTTAACAAATAAAGTAGCTCTATGTGTTGACAACTCAACTTTATACTCTTGTCTTGAGTGACAGCTCTGGAGAACACTTCTGCAAGATTATAACAGCTCAATTCAGAGCTGTAGCTGTAGCACTAGCTGTAGAAGAAATCAATTCAAAGCAAGAAATCAATTCAGATACAGAAGCTGGAGTGATACGAATGTAAAGAAATAGATCAACTTGTTTGATAGTTATATCAGTTAGAACACAACTAGTGGAATCAAGAGATGATATTAATAAAAAGTTCATAGCAAAAAATCAGCTTTGTCTTTAGGTGAGGTGACAAAGTCTGAACCATACAAAAGAGGTGGAATAACAGATTTGCCCTTATTATTGATACTAATAAAGATTCTCCAGAAGTCATGATAGCCTAAATTTTGTGATGAAATACGAGATTTCATGATCTGAGAATAACAGGCTTAGGCGTTAGACCAAACTTTTTTACAATTATTTTTAGCAGTAAGTAACAGTTTTAATTGGAAATTGCAGCAGCACAATGTGAGGAAAACCATGGAGAAAAGTGAGGTTTGACCTGGAATCCTTTATTCAATGAATAAAGGATTCCATACCAGCCTGAATCCACAAAGTTATGTAAGAAGCACATTAATCAACAGGAAGAGAAAAGATTTCTATCCAAGGGCCATCACGAAAAAAAAATTCCAGAAAGAATCCCAGTTAGCTTCAAGGTAGTTGTGAGAGGTACGATGATAGGGGATTCTGATGACAAAGAAGAATGAGATATTAGTTTAATAAAGGTAAATGATTAGGGTAGTCAGGAAAGCATTTTGGAAAGTTGACTATTTCAGTTAGAGATTGAAAAAGACAAAAGTTGAGGGCCATAATGCCAGCATGATGAGTGACTGCCACTTGAGCCAAGCCATGCAGTGTGATGAGCATTTAAGTCACCAACAACAACAATATCGGCTGATGGATAAAGAAAGAGGGCTGGGTCAATATGATCAGAAATAACACCAAAAAAAGTGCAGTCTTGAGTTAAAGGAGAGCCATATAAAACAAAGAGAAAGGCAATAGAGTGAAGTGGTGCTAAACGAAAGCACATAAAAAATTAGTGTGTGGATTCGAATCTAGTTTCCCGACAAATGGGTGAATTCTTACAAACGTAAATGCCTAGACCAAG